AGACAGGAAACAGGTGGGGCTCGGCTCAGGCGACGCTGCTTGAGTCGGCTCTCATTCCTGCAGCCGGTGGGCGCCCACAGCGGCTCCTCGCTCTCCCCATTCCCCTCCACACGGGAAACAGAACCGTGACGCAGCACCAGGCACAGAGTGGAGGCAGCACCAACAAGCAGGGCCCGTCTCCGCAGGGCTGGTCCGCTCACAGCTCCGGGAGCGCTGAGCTCCTGCGGACCAGAGCAGCCACGCGGGGCCCGGCGGACGCCCAGGGCCTGGGCCTGTCTCCGGCTCACAGGCGCGGCTGACTGAGCCCCGGGGGCAGCAGAATCTGCCTGCGCAGCAGACTGCTCTCTTGCAGGTCTGCCAGCCGCAGGTTCACTTGCAGTTCATTCTAGCGAAGCAGAAAGGAAAAAAGACCAAACTCATTTACTGAAAGCTCAAAGCTCATTTATGTGGGTCTGGCCTGTAACCCAATAAACTTTGGTTTCTGAACGTTTATAGATTCATCACAAATGCTTCCTCTCTGAGAGAAGAGCCTTGCTGTGCCCCACCTGGGCTTCAAACCCGCAACCTCTGGTTAAGGGTGCACAGCCCTGAGCCTCCGTCCCGCTGTCCTTTAACTCACCTCCTCCCTGCACACGGTTACTCAGGGGAGGTAAGAAGCATGAAGTCGCCTCTTCGGTGTTGCTTCTATTCTAGTGCTCTGCAGCTGAGAAAACCTGGAGCGGATCAGACTGCTGTGCTCTGGGGGTCTGAGGGAACTGTAAATCCTGGAGCGGATCAGACTGCTGTGCTCTGGGGGTCTGATAGACAGAACCCTAAATCCTGGAGCGGATCAGACTGCTGTGCTCTGGGGGTCTGAGGGAACTGTAAATCCTGGAGCGGATCAGACTGCTGTGCTCTGGGGGTCTGAGGGAACTGTAAATCCTGGAGCAGATCAGACTGCTGTGCTCTGGGGGTCTGATAGACAGAACCCTAAACCCTGGAGCATATCAGACTGCTGTGCTCTGGGGGTCTGAGGGAACTGTAAACCCTGGAGCGGATCAGACTGCTGTGCACTGGGATTGGGCTCCTGTCTCCTGACTGAGTGGTGCTGCTGCAGCAGACTGACACAGATTCCAGCTCTATTAATAGAGAAGGCAGCTCTTCTCCTTGCTTTTGTTGTTGTAAGATTAAAAACAGTTATGTTCAGCTCTGTTGTGACACTTCTCCAGTTTCTATTTCTGACACAGATGCTGGTAGAATTTACAAATTCAAAATTGCACTGATATTTTAACACACTGACTCACTGACTGTCAGACACACTGATAGATACGCTGACTGACACATTGACACACTCAGACACACTGACTGACAGAC